CTTCAATACGTCACCTTGCCACATATTTTCCTAAGCACATTCCTACTCCATTCCGTTTTAAATTTATACTATTCATCAATAACGGGATTGACTGAAAAGATCATGATTCATGTTCTTTCTGGGCTGAAAACTTGGATAGGAGTCTAGAGGGGCCAGGGGTGCCAACAAGGGGCAGTAAAGTATTCAATACAATCATTCAAATGGAAGCCGACCACCTGCGCGAAAACCCACAAACTCGTCAACAGCAAGAAGCACTTCAAGCAATCACCTAAGGCTGCATTTTTTCCCCTTTGGCACGGCCGATCATCTGAGGCTCGGTCCTTACATGTGAAGAAGCAGTTTAAAATAACATCTACATTGACACCTGTGGTCATGTAGTATGGCAAATCAACAGCACAAACAACCACAAACAAAAACACCACAAAAGGCGAAACGCAGATCCCCCAGCCAGATATGCGCTTCGCCCAGCAGAAAAGCAAAGCAGCAACAGCAAACGGGGTAGGACCCAACAAAAACAACCACGAACAAGGATTTGCCATGGACACTGGTGAAAAGCCACTGTGTCGCAACTCAAAAAAAATGCACCAAACGAATTGGTTGCTACCCAGAAAGTGAAACACGCGTTCTTAATTGTTGTTGCTGACAGACAACAAAGGAAAGCATTAGCTGTACACCATTGCGTCTTAGCCTCTCAGAGTCCTCTCACAGGTTCTTACTCAGGTGTTCAGTCCAAGACGAAAAAGAACTTGCCGTGTACTGAACGGTGTCTTTCATGAGGGAAAATCTGCAGGAAACCAGGATTTTCCATGAAACCATAATCCTTTGCGGCCATTGCGGATTCAGCACCTCAGCCATGCCATGCTGCGAAAGCCCGCAGAACAACCCCCACACAATTCCCAACAACATTGTGCTTTGGCAAGCGGTACATCTGTTCCGAAATTTGCGACAAATTCAGAGTGAGACCAAGAGTCCGCTCAGATCCTCTCACTCGAGGCACCCACACAAAGGCCCACTTTTTTTTCCTCTGGTATGACCGATCACGCTCTAACCCACACAAAAACGATGACCTATCGCAACCTGAGATCATGAAGTGATCGAGAAAGATAGACCAGATAATTGACTGTGAGGAAGACGATCGTAATGGGGGCTATGGTGGATGGTGGACATGGCCGAGTAGTCGTCCTCGTGGTGAAGTTGGTAGGGCATCAGTCTTGTGGTGCTGACAGACTTCCGGTGGCGGTTCGATTCCCCGCTGGTCCGCGAGTAAGACTCAAGACCGTAGACCCGCCGAAAGGCAACGGGCTCGGACAAATAAAAAGGATGGTGGACATGGCCGAGTCGCGGTGGTGCGGCCGTCGTCTTCGCGACCTTCTCGCAGCTTGAAGTGTTAGTTGAGAGACCAAAGGCTAACAGATGTGACAACATGGATCTGCAATAATCCTGCAGTGCAAAGAGATAGGAGTGTTTCATGTTGCAGCGCAGGAAGCAAAACGTTTTCAAACCGAATTTGGAGGTGCGGTGCATGTGACCCCACTGAATGCAGCACGTGAACACAGCTTTTTTTGACCGGCGTCCTGTGCCTTTCGGCGCGTCGCCGTGTATAGAGACTTCTCGTCTACCATTGTTGGTTTTATTGTTATTGTTGTTCGATATATGCAAAAAACATCACAGAAACTTATCTAGAACCCCACTTGCCCCCGGCTTTTTTTTTTGCCCGAGCGCGTTGCCTTTCGGCGGGTCTACGGTACTTGAGACTTACTCGTCTACCACGTCACGATCGCGGCCCCGTACCCGGCGATCCGCGGCTAGCTGTCTATGCACGGTCCTGAGACCGGCATTATACCACTACGCGACGAGATCGCCTTGCCCCCGGCGTTCGCCTCCACCAGCCGCTTTCCAAATGCTTCAGCATCGGCTTTCGGCTGTCCTCCAAATACTTGGATAAAGATATCAGGGATTATCATGACAATATTGGGTAATGTAACGATGATGATCACGATGATGTCAGTATATTCCCTGTCATTATATTGCCTGTCATCATATTGCCTGATGTATAATATTTAATGTCAATCAGGGGGAATCGGCTGCTATGCCCGTCCAAAAAAATGTGTGCGAAACCCAAACTGAACCGGACACTGTTTGTTTTATGAAGTTTCCCTTCAGCATTTGTTTCTTCTTTTCAACCCCTCACATGTTGCCATGTTGTCTGTGACATGAACAGTCCGTCAACGTCTGAAATTAAAATGGTCATTGCCATTGCTTTCACGCAATCTTAGAGCCAATTTCTGACCGATGCAGCGCTACACAGCAGTTCCGATGGAGACGATGACACTCTGAACGTGTCTGAACAGTTTGGCTGTCTACGTCACAATCTTTTGCCCCTCCGGCGGTCAGTACTCACTCTGTGCCAGGGCGACATTTCACATGTTTGACGGTACGATGAGGTGCAACTTTTTCTGTGATTGGCTGCTTAGCCCTGTCGAACCACATCGTCAGAGCCCTTTGCCGCCCCTGTGAGGAACGGCTTGACAGCAAACGGTGACACAGCAGACTTCACTTTGGCTGCGGTGAAAGGGTCGTGATCATAAATTCTGCTGTGATTCGATGGCGGATGCTTGGAAAAGCACATGTGAGAGGAATCTGAGGAATGCTTCCGCTGTGAAGTTTTCTAATGTGATGTCACAATTTGCCTCCTTCGTTAATGACAATTTGCTGATGCATTGTTTCACACTGTTTGCTGGGCCATGGACTGTTTTCTCTCGATGGCGAAACGCGAATCTGGCCTGGGGATTTGCGTGTCGTCTTTTGGTTGCTTTTTGTTGTGCTTGTGTGATCCGATTTACCGTTTTCCTGATGAGACCACTGTGTTTCATGCTGAGTTTTTTGATTCGTTTGCCTGCTTCTCCCTATGTAAGGACCGAGCGTCAGAGCGATATCGGCCACAACAGAGGAAAAAAATCAATTTGATTTCAGGATTATATTTTTTCCAAGTTTTCACCGTGAAATTTCTGCAAAACTATGTGTGGGTGAACGTGTCTTGGATACAAATCGTTTCCCTCTGCAGCGAAAATGCTGGGCATGTTAGGTCGACCCCACCATGCTACTGGGGCCATGGCATCACACCCGGAGTTGGGTTGCTGGCTTTTTCCAGGAAATGGCATTAACAAATAAAAGGACCGGATAACCCCACATGTCAAGCCTTGTTGTATCTAAGCTTTATGTGAATTTTTCCAGAAGACATGCAGCACACAAGTTCTTTTTGAACAGAGGCAGCGCAAGTGCAAGCGTCGCCCCATGCAGTTCACAGTACCTGGTGCAGGTGATCTATGATAAAAAATATTAAATGATGAGTCTATGTGACCGTAAGTATCACACTGATAGACTGTTATCTGTATCTATGTGAACAAGTGCCTGGATTTATTTCCAAAATGCACAGTGTTCGAAAAGCAGAATCTGTTAGCATATAGCCAAAAGAGTGCAGTGTTCAAAGAGATTCATATGCCAATAACCATGTTACTATAATGTCCAAGGTGGAAAACTGAAATCTATAGCAGTGGCTGTTCCAGACATGCCACAACCTGCCTGCGCCGCAATCATCGAAGCGGGGTGAAAATCTTGCACTTGCGACCAGAAGCCTGACAGTTCGAGAGAAAAAGGCTGGAACTTCGTAAATACAAAGCAAAGCACAGCGATCTCTACACAGCACGGTGACGACCAGGCCCGGCAACCATGGTACATCAACCAATGACGCAGATCAAATTTGAGATCGTAGTGATACGAAACCATATATATATACATATCATTGTACGTACTGAGCTCCAAACCTTGCAGAAATCGTCATGATAGCGCGCACCAAACCCGAAACAGCTGCAACACCAGCGGGACTTTTGTAGCTAAGCTTGAAGTTCTGTGTGTGACGCTCTCCGCCTGAGCGACAGAGAGAGAGATGAGATGAGATGAGATGAGATGAGATGAGATGAGATGAGATGAAAGCCAGCCGCGGCCCAGCGGCGGCCACGCGCGCCGCAGCTCCTCCAAGAGGCTCTGTGTAGTGCGCCTGCCACACGAAAGCCAGCCGCGGCCCAAGCGGCGGCCACGCGCGCCGCAGCTCCTGCAGAAGGCTCTGTGTAGCGCGCCTGCCACACGAAAGCCAGCCGCGGCCCATGCGGCGGCCACGCGCGCCCCAGCTCCTCCAGGAGGCTTTGTGTAGCGCGCGCCTGCCACACGAAAGCCAGCCGCGGCCCAAGCGGCGGCCGCCTAAGCGGCGGCACGCGCGCCGCAGCTCCTGCAGAAGGCTTTGTGTAGCGCGCTTGCCACAGGAAAGCCAGCCGCCGTCCAAGCGGCGGCCACGCGCGCCCGCAGCTCCTCCAAGAGGCTCTGTGAGCGCGCCTGCCACACGAAAGCCAGCCGCGGCGCGCCGCAGCACCTGCAGGAGGCTCTGTGTACTGGGCGTGCCACACGAAAGTTAGCCGCGGCCCAAGCGGCGGCGACCACGCGCACCGCCAGAAGGCTCTGTGTGATGCGCCTGCCACACGAAAGTCAGCCGCGGCCCAGCGGCGCGAAAGCCAGCTGTGATGAGTTGTGCCGTGGTGTGATGACTAATGCTGTGATGAGGAAGGTGTGAGAAGAGTTGCTGTGAGTGTTGTGTGAGTAATGCTGTGATGAGGGAGGTGTGAGAAGGGGTGCTGTGATGAGTTGTGGTGCTGTGGTGTGATGAGTGAGGTGTGATGAGCGGTGGGAGAAAGGTGTGGTGATGAGTAATGCTGTGATGAGGGAGGTGAGATGAGTGATGAGTATTGCTGTGGTGAGTATTGCTGTGATGAGTGTGTGCCAAAATCTAGCAGTCATAACGCTGACAGCGATGTCATGCCCCAGCATACCAGCATGCATGTAGTAACTGTTCTTATCAGTGAGACAACTGATGAATCTGATTGCCGCTACAAGTGGCTTCAAGCTACAACGTGGAAAAGGTAGCCCTCCGCTGTTCCTGCTATCTTGAGATGGTAGCGGAGCACCTGACCGGTGCGATGATGCTACCTGGGCCATGCAGGCTGCTCCTTGGGCTGCTGATGGCGCTGCAGCTCTTGGTGGATGTCAACGTGGAGCACTACACAAAGAAGGGTTCTTGCCAATGTTCCCAGCAAGCTCACCCCGGCGAAAAGATGAAGTGTGTAGGCTCTGGGAACAGCAATTCGAGTTCCCAGTGCGCAGGTGTGGCAGGCAACTGTACTGCCCATGGATGTTGGCTTGGTGATGTAGATGGTCAACTATGGGGTGAAGATCTATGTCCGGTGGTTCAAGGCCATTGGGGAAAACTACAGTATGGACTTTGTGTAGATGGCGCCCTCAGTGCATGTGATCGCTTGGTTTGTGGCGATGCTGGTGACTATAGATATCTTAAGGAGATGTCAGATGGTGCTCCAGTGGTGTGGAAAATGTTGGATGAGCCTGCAGACCTAGGTGGATGCCGACAGAACAAGCTGGCTGAGATGAACAGCTTGGACTATGAGACGGAGTTGAATGCGACCCAGGTGATGGAGTATGAGTCCAATGGTGGCGGCGCTTTGGCAACTATGAACAGGTGCTTTTTGTACATCCTGGACTTTGTGGACAGCGACTATGAGCAGTTGCTTCTCTATTTGGAGGACTTTGACTTCGTGATGGAGGTTGAGATAGCGGTTCGAAACCTTTTCAGCTTCATGAGGCACGTGATGGAACTCATGAGCGTGGAGAGAGCTTGGATGTGTTGGCTCATTACCATGATGAGTCTTTTGGTGGGAAGCCACTTGGGCCTGAGCAGATGGTTCGAAGATGGTATGGTTGGAACATCAAGGAGCTCTACATCCAGTTTGACAAGAACAACAAGAAACCGAATGCGTGTGAGAAGAGCGCAGTGGAAGATGCAGCTTAAGGCGATGTTGTTTGCAAGCTGGATTCCTGGTTGTCAGGGTATGGAAGGAGCAACAACAGGAGAGAGTGCTTTTCTTCAGCAAATGTCCAACCTAGCAACAGCAGCGACTAGCGCAGCAAATGCAGCAGAGAAGGCAATTGGTCTTTTGAGTCAAAGTGCGGCTTCAAGTTCATCTGGAGATCAAGGTGGCTTGCAGGCTGCTTCAAGAATCTTGAAATGTCCTGATGCCTACAATGGAGAAGACCCGATGGCATTTTCAAGTTGGAAATTTACTTTTTGCAGCTGGTTGAGTTTTGGTGATCCTCGTTTTCAACGCTATTTCGACAGGATTGACAAGTCGGGAGCCTCAGAGGATTTGCCAGAATATGCAGCAGTGGATCAAGAACTCAGCGTGAAATTGTTTGCAATCCTGACCAGCTACTTGAAGGGAAGATGCACTAGCCTGGTCAAGTCCATGGCGCGCAGCAAAGATGGTTTCAGGTTGTGGCGAGCTCTACAACAAGAGTATGAGCCTTCAAGCAGACAGAGGAGTCTTGCAATTGCCCAAACACTTTCAAATTTTCCTGCCTTTTCTGGATCAAAGACTCTCCATGAGCATATCCTTGCGTATGAGCAGTTGGTGGCGCAATTTGAAGAAGTCAGTTCGAGCAGTTACCCCTCTGAGCTCAAGATCGCTACCCTGGTGAGGTGCAGCAACCAAAAGCTGCGTGAACATCTTCAGCTCACAATAGGGGAACAGACCACCTATGCTCAGCTCAAGGAAACTATGTTGGGATACGACAAAGCTTGTCGAAGTTGGACCCCAGAGACCATCCTCAAATCCATTCAGCAGCAGAATACTCCTTCTGGTGATCAAGGTGGAGTGCAACCGATGGAAGTAGACAGGATTGAGGACAAAGGCAAGGGCAAGAAGGGCAAAAGTAAAGGCAAGGGCAAAAGTTGGTGGAGCTATGGTTCCTATGCTGGAGGTGCTGGTTATGGACGAGGACGAGGCCGTGGAAAAGGACGTGGTTCCAAAGGAAGAGGCAAAGGAAAGCACAAAGGCAAGTCTAAGTCAAAAGGCAAAGACTTTGGGAAGAAAGGCAAGTCCAAAGGCAAAGTGGATGCTTCTCAATGCAAGTTGTGTCTGGAGTATGGACATTGGTCCAGAGAGTGTCCCAACAGAATGGTGCAACAGGTTGTCAATTCCGTGCATCAACCACATCAAGGAGAATATGGACAAGCACAACAAACTGTCTATGTGGCTGCTGGAGGACAAGGTGGACAAGTTGGTGGGCAACAGCAACAAGCCCGTGGTTCACCTGCAAGCAGCTATCCTCCTTCTTCGACTGCGGCTTCAACAGTGCGCAGAATCTATACCATTCCTTTTGGCATTCCTTCTTTGTCCAGTTCTTCCTCTTCCTCAGTTCGAATGGTCAGCGCTGGCGATGATGGCATGCAAGATGTGGTGATCCTGGATAGCGGCTCAGATGTTTCTTTGCTTCCGTTGGCATTTGGTAATGTTGGAGAAGAAAGTCTAGATCATGATTCAGTTCAGCTACGTGATTGTCAAGGTGAAAAGTTGGAAGTCACTGGCTACAGAACAGTGTCTTTGGTGGTGACTGATTCTGATGGAGGTGAAGCTGAACTTCAACACCCTTTTCTCATTGCCAACGTGCAAAGTTGCATTCTTTCTTTGGGTCAACTTTATCAAGGAGGCTGGAGTGTGCAACAAAACTCTGGAGGACCATGTTTGGAAAGTCCAGATCAAACGCTGCGAGTTCCAGTGTTTTACAAGCGCAACAGTTTGGCAATCAAAGCTAGTGTTTGCAGAGTTGAGTGCATGGAAGACGGAGATGCCATGTCCCCTCATGCCTATGTTCGGGCTATTGTTGAGTTGGAGGAGAAGTTTCGACCAGAGGATGTGCGCAACAATCACTGGCAGGTGGCAGATGGAAATCCTTTCATGCGTTCAGTTGGTCGCAACTTCATAGATCCTCGACCAGTATGGGCTGGCAATTTTGGCTTCAGAACCACTTTGGTTCAAAGACGTTCCACAGCTGCAGAAGACCATGGATGGTTTGTTGTGGAGGTCAGTCAAAGATATCTGGAGCTAGAAGATCCTTTTGGACCTATTCCTGGTTTGGAAAGCTATTCTCCCGATGAGGATGTGATTGTGCTAACGATCCTTGCTGAACGCGATGAGTGCCTTGCTCATTTTGGTGGCTTGTTGGATTGGATGCAGGTGGAATGGAGCCTGAAGAACCTTACGAACCTGAGTCGCCATACAGAGGAGAGCCTGTAGAAGAAATCAAAGGGCTAGAGATGTCTCCAGTTCTGGATGAAGGTCGCGATGATGTTCATGGCAGAGATATCCCTGAGTTTCAGGAATTGGCCCCAGCCTTGAGAGCAGACGCAGAGAGCGATGTGATCCTGGTCAATGATGTCGAGATCACTCCCAATAGCTCAGTCGAGATCCTACGTACTGCTGGAAGATTTCTTGGGATTTCAACATCAGGATCAAAGCGCAAGATCTATGATCGTCTGCGTGCTGCTCACATCTCTGCATTGCGTCTTCGTTCTCTAGAAGTGTCTTCGTTCTCTAGAAGTGGCTCGAGGTGAATTTGAAGCACTACAACCTCAGCCAAGGTTTCAGGATGCTCCTGCACAGCCCACAGTTCAAGAGAGGAAGTTGCATGAAGTGACACATGTTCCCTTCAAACCTTGGTGTGCTGCATGCGTTCAGTCAAAGAGCCGGCCCAATCATCAACGTCCCACACCACCTGATGAGATGTCTCAGAGGACCTATCCGACGATTCAATGTGATTTCTATGTGGTCTCTGGCAATTTGAATGTTCTCATCATGGTGGACGTTTGGACAAAATATGTCGGTGTGGAACCACTGAGGAACAAACTTCAATCAGTGGTTGGTGCGGCTGTTGCCAAGTTTCTGGGTGAACTTGGTTACTATGACAAGGTGGAGCTTGCATTTGACAATGAACCAGTTCTGGCAGCGGGCATGCGTGTGGCACAAAATATCAGGGCTGCACAAGGATTGGTCACTGTGTTGCAGCCAGGCCAGATGTATGGCAAGGCCAGGACTGCACTGGCCGAGCGGAGTATCCAAACAGTGCGTGCACAAGGAAAATGTTTGATGACGTTCCTGGAGGAGAAAATGCGTGTGTGCTTTCCACCAGACCATGTGTTGAGAGGTTGGTCAGTTCTGCATGGAGCTTGGTTACTCAATCGATATCATGTTTCCTCTTCAACAGGTACCACAGCTTTCATGGCTCTACGTGGTAGGCCGTACAGAGGCAGAATATGCGCTTTTGGAGAAGAAGTATATGCACTTGATCCACTTCAGGCCAAATATGCCGCACAATGGCGACGCGGCATATGGTTGTCAAAGGATTCTGCAGACATGGATTTGGTGGCCGTTTCTCCAACTGAGATCATCAGGAGTCGAGCTGTGAGAAAGGTGTCAGAGCATTGGAACAGTGAACTTGCTGTGGCATTAGAAGTAGGTCCATGGGACATGAGGAGAGGCATCAACGCAGAGGTGAAGGTGGCCAAACCAGCAGAAGTTCCACTTCCTTTGCTTCATCCTCCCATTGGAGGTGTCGAGCCTGAGATTGAGGATGAGGATGCCAAGGCGGTCAGAGAATATGCTCGAGATCATCCTCAAGAAGATGTGGATGAGGGTGAAGTTGAGGTGCAACCTTTAGACTTTGAGGAAGGCGGGGCTTCTGTGATGGTTTCAGATGAAGTTCAAAGTGATCAGAAGATGGATGCTGAGCAAGAAGCGCGTGAGAAAAGAGCACCAGGTGATTTGCGCTTACCTGTGCCAGTGCGACGAAGTAGAAGCCTCAAAACGTGGTCAGCAAAATCCAGAAGAAGGGCAAGCGAAGTTTGTGAAGTTTGATCCCAACACTGAAGTTCCAGAACCCAGTCCAAAGCAACCCAGGACTCTTTACAGCCCAGTGTATGCAGGCAACATGGCAGACAGCCCTGGGACTGCATCATCTTCAAGGCATGTGAGAAGAGTGATTGAAGAGTTGGAGATGGTTGATGATGATGAGATGGACTATGCTGTCCCAGATGAGGCTTGGGACTGGGAGGTTTGCGATTCAGTTGATGGTGGTGTTGGTAAGATGGCTTCAATTTCAGCGGAAGAGATGGCTAGACGTGGTTTTCACAATGAGGGAGCAGGTCCCCCTGAGGTGACCCAAGAAGAATTGGATTGGCTAGATCAAGAAGCTATGAAGATGGAGCTCAAGCGATTGAAGGAGCTGCATGTGATTGACAATGTCAGTGATGATGTGGTGGTTGAGAATTGTGTACGTTTAGACACACGTCTTGTACGAGACTGGCGCTATCGTGAAGGCCAATGGCGCAGACGCGCTCGTTTGGTCGCCAGGGGATTTCGTGACGGTGATTGCAGTCACATTGACACTTTTTCTCCAACCACTCCACTGCCCATTGTCAAGCTCCTCATCATCCTTAGCATGCTCTATGACCTTGCCATCTGTTCTTTGGATGTCGGAGACGCCTTCCTACAGGTTCCTCAAAGAACCACAGTCTTGATTGAAGTTCCACTTTGGGCACAACAAGAACAAGGTGAAAAACATCAATTTTGGATTTTGCGTCGATGTCTCCCAGGTCAACGTGCAGCAGCTTCTGAGTGGAATCAATTCTTTGTGGAAGTATGTGCACGACATGGATTCGACAATTTCCAAGGTACCATTTTCAAGCACCGAGAGCAACAGGCCTATATCTCTGCACATATAGATGATTTGCTGGTTGTTGGTTCCAAGGAGTTCATTTTGGGTTTTCATGGTGAATTGTCGAAGGAGTTGAAACTCAAAATTGAAGGACCACTTCAATGCGGTGACGAAGGCAGCATCTATTACCTGAAGAGAGAACTCCAGTTCACCGAGCACGGCATCTATGTGGCCCCCAGCTCACGCTACATACCAAGGTTGTTGGAGATCTTGAAAATCAAAGACCGCAGAGGTCGTACCGTTCCACATCATGGTTGCTTGGAGATTTTTGATGCAGCATCCATCGCAGATGATGAATTTCTCAATGGCGATGAGGCGAAGGTTTTTCGATCTGCACTGGGGATATGTATCTACTTGAGTCAAGAACGTTGCGACATACAACACCCAGTTCGAATTCTTGCCTCATACATGGCACGTCCCACAAAGACGGCAATGAGTGCTGTGAAGAAGCTTGGAAGTTATTTGATGTGGACGAAAGAGATGAAGCTTTACTATGGCAAAGCTGAGCTGTACCAGTCTGTGATGCAACGATGGTTTGGAGGTCAACAGCGACTTGAGTCGAAACCATTCATGCTGGAGTTGTTCAGTGACAGCGACTGGGCAACATGCAAAACCAGCCGACGCAGCACAAGTTCAGGGCTGATCTTTTTGAACTCTTGTTTGATCCACAGCCATTCCAGAGCACAAAATTCAGTATCTTTGAGTTCCATGGAAGCTGAGATCCTTGCTGCGACAGGACTATTGGTGGAAGGAATCTACATCAAGCAGGTCTTGCAGTTCCTGGTGGATGACAATGGTGGCCTTGGAAGTCAAAACAAGGTGATGATGCGCTTGAGGCTTGACTCAACAAGCGCACAGGCCTTTTTCTCTAGGCTTGGGCCGGGGAAGGCCAAACACTTGGCCACACGTCTCCTTTGGACGCAGCAGGCATTGAGACGCAGCTGGTTTTGTGTGGACAGGATTGCAACAAGAGAGAATCCTGCAGATTTGAACACAAAGGCTTTGTCAAAAGAACGCCGAACGTTTCTGATGAGACGAATTGGTTTGGAGTGTGATGTCTTTGAGGATGAAGATGAAGTTCTTCCTGGACAGAGCCGCAAGAAGCAATTGGTCAAGCTCTTGGTGAATATGGTCATGGCGAGCAATTTGCAAGGGTGCTCTACAACTTTGAACAGCACTACTCGTTCTTTGGTTGATGGATGGAGCACTGCATCATGGGCTTGGACTTTTGCAATGATGGTGATCATTCTTTTGGTCATCGTGGTCTTGCGTTTGGTCTACAAAATGACGCTTTTGATGGAAGAGCTGAAGAAGTACAAAGAGGTCTGGAAAACCATTCGAGGCGTGGCCAATTTGACCAACAATGAAGATCCTTTTTGTGCTGAAGGAGATGTAGAACTTGGAGAAGGACCAGAAGAAGAATCACCTGAAGTGGATGCAGAAGATACAGCTTCAGAGCAAGCTGAGCCTGGCATCAATGGTGCTATGGTGGAAAACGACAATGATGCGATGTCTGAGGTGGATGGCGAGTTTGAATCACTTCGCAGACGACCACTACGACATGAAGCCGATCATGGTTCAGCAAATGGTGGAGATTTTCTTCATCCTGGAGCAGATCATGATGAAGGTGATGAAAATGTAGAAGAAAAAAGTTTTGCAGAAGAGGATGAAAGTCCAAGAGCCAGGTATGATCGGTACCGCCAATCAACCATGGAAGAAGTTAGCGACCCTGATGAGTGGACCAATATTCATTACGGTTTTGCACCTGATGATTCTGATGCAGATGCAGCTGGTTCAGGAGAATTGCCTATTTCACGATCCCGATCCAGAGAGCGTCTAGAAGGACAAGTACCAGAGCCCAAAACGATGCCAAAGCCTTTGGCCAAAAGTGTTGCGAGAAGAGTGGCAATGGACAAGGCGATGGAGATGTTGGAAGAGAAAGATTTCAGTGGTGGTGCAACATCAACTACATCAGCACCATCTGCAGGTGTTTTGACAGAGACCAACTATTTTCTGTCAAGTGTTCCTATGGCGAGCTTTTTCAACATTTCTCCAGTTCCACGAGAAGCACTTGCGCTGGACGACTATCGATGGGACCTTCTTATGCAAGGTGTCGGTCCTGAAGATTTGGTGGTGCACAATTGCAGGCGTTTGTCCAATGAGATTGACGAGGAGCCTAACCACATGAGGCAGTATGGTATGCGAAGGCTCTTGCGCAATTTGCAAAATTTGCTGGTGCTTTTTCAAAGTGGACGTCCTGAGCGTTGGATGGAGGCAGCCGATCGTGTGATGGATCGGTGCAACCATGATGGAGCTATGGATTTCTTTGATTTGGCCGAGACCGAAGCTGGCAGTCCGCGCAGTAATCATGAAGGAGAGCATGGAGAAGAAGAGACTTTGAGTGATGATCCATCACAACCAGGAGATCGAGACGATCTAGGTGACTACGATGGCAGCAGTGGTGATCATCGTGGAAGAGTTGCTGAGCGTGCTGCAGCTGCTGCTGGTCTCCGATCTTCGAGCGCTGTGTGAGTGTAAGCCTATAGGTACAGAGACGCCAATAGAAGAGAAAACATGGGCAATCATGTGCCCTAAGGTGTCAACAATATATGCTGGTATCAGTACAGGCCAAAACCAACTAAAATCGTTGGATTTGGAGGCGGGGTGTCAAAATCTAGCAGTCATAACGCTGACAGCGATGTCATGCCCCAGCATACCAGCATGCATGTAGTAACTGTTCTTATCAGTGAGACAACTGATGAATCTGATTGCCGCTACAAGTGGCTTCAAGCTACAACGTGGAAAAGGTAGCCCTCCGCTGTTCCTGCTATCTTGAGAGCGTGAGAGCTGTGATGAGCGTGAGAGGGGGCGAGGCGGAAGGCAGCGGAAGGCGGAGGAAGGCGGCGGGATCCAAGCAAAAAACAAGAACCCCACACAGTGATGTGGGGAACAGCATAAATGCCACCGGAAGGTAACCAATCCCCCATTTTTTCCGTCAGGTGTCGGATGTCATAATTGTTGCGACTCATGGTATGAAACTTGCAGACGGCGTGGAATTTTGTCGCAGTTCATATTGCCAAAAATCGTCAAACAACCATTGAAAAAATCAACATTTATGACTTCCATCAGTCATGTGGCAAACAACCTCAACATGTAAAATACCAAAAATTCAGGCATGATTGCCCAAAAAACGGATCTGCGTTTGGTTTCGGTTGCTTTCCCTTGGTGCGTAATTTTTTTTAACAGTTGCGGCGCCAGGGTAAATACCATTGACGAAAACACAGCAGAACCATTGGACACACGCTCAAATGATGCCGTAAAGGAATCCAAACTTGCAAGACGGCTGTGATGCGGCCAGCAACTGAAAACTCTTGTTTTTGTGGTGCTGTGTGTTGTGCGTTCTCCCATCTAGGGCTAATATTTCTAAGCAAAACTGCAACAAGTCGATTGGGTTCCACAACACTTACACGGAATCATGGAGAACATGTGATGGCCTGAGATGTGCTTGTGGCATCTAGAAAAAAAATGTTTTGGATTGATCTTGCCGCGGTGAGAACACATGCAGTGGCTTGTTGCTTACAGGTTGCGGGTTTGCATTAGCCTAGATAGATGGTGGAAAATGGTTCCCATTTTTTTTTGGAAACAAAATTTTAACCTAGCACAAAACGGAATGAAGAACGTTGTTGCTGATTGAATTCGGAGGTTTTCGTTTAGACCGTGTGTTTTTGTCAGTCATGAAACGTATTTTTTTGATTTGTTTTGACCTAAACCTCCCATTGGTACACAAAAGTGCGTATTTTTTTTTTGCCCGACTTCACAAAATGTGTTCGTTTAGGGGTTTGGAAAAAAGTGTCCGAAGTTCCGTGGTTCCCCATAATAATCAGCATGATTCTTTCTTCATAGGTTCGTTAAGACAGTCTTTTTCACGCGGTAGTGCAAGTGCAGCATGCCAAATATCACCTGGAACAGCCACGCTTGAGAACATGGGTTGCATCGCAGCACATTTAAGCAACTGAACTTTGGACAGGGTAAATATGATGTATCCAGTCCAACATCACGTATATTTTTTCATACCCCAAGATACCTCAAACACACAACTTTGAGCTATAACGCAATTTTCACACAACACACCAACAGTCGGGCACTGAATTTTCCAATCCAAAAGGTCCTCGTGCAGGGCGTGCAAAACGCAAAAGTAAAACATCACAACACAACGCGCACACATAGCATGAACACAGGAAAAAATCCAGAAACTTGCGCGCTTGGAGTCCAAGTAAAATGGGAATGAAATCAAAACATAAAGTCAAGGGTGCGATGGAAAAATTGCCAGGGAACAGACTGTACCACAACATGCCACGCACAAATTCAAGACCCCTGGGCACCGCCTTCTCTTCGGACCATGCGTTCTCTTCCGACCATGCGCAAAAAGGGTTTTCAAAAACACCTAACATGTCAGGATGGTCAAAACAGGAGGGTCATTTTTTTTTTCCCCCCCCTTTTCGCGTATTTTCATTCATCCGTTTCGCGCGTTTTCGCGCCTGTTTCGTTCAAAACCCTTAGATCATATCATGCGCAAAATGTTAACATGGTTCATGTCAAAACCGATCCAATGCAAGGCACGATTTTTCATCAGCAGACATCAGCCAGACTCAGTGTTTCCCAAAATTTGACGGTCAAATTTTGTCATGGAACCATGGCGCAAACCGAGTAATTTCGCCATGAGGTGTTTCCACAAATAGCCCCATGCATTGCTAACCGCTAGCCGCAAAACCGAACAAAACAACCGTTGGCTAACACGCATCCTTGTCGCACCCTTGACTTTAAGGAAAAAAAATGTTTTGTCCCAGTGGTGAGGATGCAAAGGTTGAGCAGTAATGATCGGAAACACCATCAGTAGCCAACATTTCCCGCAAAACATCCCGTTTTACTTTATCACGAAAACAAACGGTAGCTAGCTAGAGTTACTTTTTCCTTCAGCAAGAGGAAGGGCAAACAAAGTGTTTTTCACTCGGAACCCATTCCTTTCCCCAAAGCGCCCGGGGCATCTTGCAGCGTTGTTGGAAGTATATGGTCACGGGCTCAAATGCTGCCAGGTCCCCAGCCAATCAGCAAATCAAAATCCAATTAAAAACCCTTCAGGTTTCCAGGCTCCTATGAACCTCAGCTTTTATTCATCCCCCTTGGGCCGTAAGACGAACGCCTTCGACAAATCCAAACTTATGATCCATAACTGCACGTTAGCATCAGCCGTTTTGTGCAACAACAAGTTAGCAGTCGACGTGTGTTTTTCAGTACTATATTTGCCTCTGAAACCATGTTGCTCTTCAGGTTGTGCGACGTTCAAAAAACGCCTTGATGCGATCAAACAGCATGTACGCAAAAAAAAACCACCAATTTTATGGGAAAAATTGAAGCTGGCAATAGGCCGGAATTCTGAGGGTCGACTTGCGCGATTTTTGTCGCAAACATTTCAAAAAATGTTACATGCCAAAAACAAGGGACATACTGACCCAAAAAATGTTTTGAAATAATTTCAGGAAATGTGTTCGAAAAAAGGAACGGCGAACCTCTCAACAATTCAGCGGTGAGGCCAGCTTCATCCGCGCCCTTCCCCAATTTTCTTTTTAATATATGATTTCGCCGCATTCCATGGTGAACGTTTCCTCATTCAACACCACGGGCCGCATAATCGGCGAAGGAAAAATAACAAAAATAAGTTCGATCATGGTTACCAAAAGCACCTACAGGTGGCAGCTATGCAATTTTCATGCCAGGATGCCTTTGCAAATGTGTATGCGGAAATTTTCACACGTGTGATTCACCAAAACAATGTTGCAGCCGCGCAGTTTTCCAAACATGATATGCTTTACGGTGAATTTTTTTTCGCCATTTTTTTTAAAAATTGTTTCCGATGACCTGGTCGCCCAAAATGGGGCATACAGGTGTCACTCAGTCATTTTGTAAATGTTTGAGCATAAGTCGGGAAGGGGCCTCGAAAACCTTGTGATTTTCAATTTTTTTTGCCCGTTTACAGCAAAACTGTACCAAACACCAGGGACAAAAAAAAAACACAACTGGGCCGTGCAGGCAATGCGCTCGCGGAACTGTTGCGTATGCATGGACGAACGAAGCAGGAATGTTGGATGATGGTGGTAGCAGTTCAGGCCTCGGCACTTCCACATGGACTACTGGATGCACTTGGCGGAAAAAGTGACCAGAGGATAGGGAAGCGACATGAAACACACATGTCCGCAAAACCGGCCAATAGCAACGTCAAACAAAGGCTTTGAAACACAAAATTATAAAATGCGTCGGAACCCTCTAAACAGGCAAAAAAAAACTCAAACCAAAATGAAAATAAAAAGATAGCGCAGGCGGCCACCCATCCTGGACACCCATATAAATTGAAAAAAAGGAAACTGCAACAGGAGAGAACCAACCAATGTTGGAAGGAAAACGCGAGTAACCATAGCCAATGGGACTGCAATAAAAAATTGTAATCATCATTATCACTATGAATCGTGTGGCACCTTCCTGTGCGTCACGAGGAATCGCCGGAGTCATGGAACCAAAATTGCGTCGGCAACAAAAAAAGGTTAGTTTGCCGGGGCATCTCCGACACTGTTGCCAGCCACCAATCAACAAGGAGACCGCCATACCATCACATGCCCCCAGTGTTCTCAAGAGACGCCGTGAGAGCACTCATTCAATAAATGTTTCTCCGGTTTTTCCTGTGCGATGACTGTCGATGCATCCTTTATTTCGTTTCACCTTGGAGATGGATGCCCCAAATCCCGATCCTGCAATGGAACGCGCTGCACTCTTCTTGGCCGACAGTGAGGCTACATTCCGACGAGGGGAAACAAATCTGGAACTGAAGGTTGGGTACGTTGATGGCTTGTGTGATGCCAACGTCAACACACAACTGGGAACTGAAATTGCATGTGATTGTTTGTTGTTATTTTGACAAACTTTCCAATGCCACGTCCAAAAACCGGTCTTCAGCAAAATCAACGCGGCCGCACGAACACGCCGCATCATTCGATTTTTATGTAGGGCAGCGGCAATCTGAGCACACATCTGTCCGTATTCCTGACACGCAACATGTAATTCTCTGTCCTTCCCAAGTCAATCTCGGCACCTAGTGCTGTCACAAGCCTAAAATAAACCCACCCACGCAGAGCAAACACAAATTCTACAAAAACCTCTCTGTTTGCAGACAGCAAGGGAGGAGAGACCATTCCGAGGCCCGACTTGTCAGCGCTTGCACTTTCAGAGAAGTGGTTTGAATTAAATTTTGTTCTCTCGGGAATGGCAGCTTCGCTAGTGACACTAGAGAAGGGGGACTCGACGGGATTCTTGTTCAAGATGGTGGCCGTGTTGTGTCGGAGTTTTTCCCGATTGAGGATGGGGAGCAGGCTATTTGCGAGTTGGAAGCATTAAATAACCGTTTGCTTGAGTCTGCGCATGTAGGGCGTTTCTTTTTCTTCTTTCGCCCGTCCGAGTCGCCTCGATCCTACAAGGATTGGGGG